CAAATAAATATAGCCAAATCTTAAAAATGCTGTAGAGAAAAATACATATTTGAAAGTTATTTTTACAAACTGCTGATCGCACAACTTTTTCTTTTTTCTGCTAATTTCAACCATTCCTTTATATATATATATATGTTAATTCATAATTAATTTTATGCCAATAAGTATTCCAGTTGCTTCATTTTCATTTGGAGACTAATAATTTACATTATCATGCAATACAGTTGTTCATCAATTGTATTTCATGAATTTTTTGTCTACATTTTCATTATCAGTAACTTAATTACAATTTAGAATTAGACAAATGTTGAGCATAAGAACTAAACAGTTAATTTTACACCATGCGGTTATTGTGATGTCACAGTAAAATTGACTCGCTGAAAAAAAAAAAGGTTAATTAATTCCTGTAGTACTTCAATACTTACAATCATCTCCAACAGGTCCAGCAGAACACTGTGCTGGGGGATCACGACCAAGATCCTGTAGCTCCTGTGACAAATGTGGAAAAAAAAAGGATACAAATTGAAACAAAAAATAATTTTTTTATATTATTATCTTATGGATATTATCAGTATACTAACTTTTTAAAAATCACTATAGGTGAACAAAAGAAAGAAAAAACAAGCATCTATTCTTTAAAATAGGTGGTGAATGTGATTCTGCCCCAAATTTATGTTTTGGCAATCAATATTCAAAATATCCAAGTACTCTTTATGTTGTTATATGTTTAAAACATTTTATCAAGCAAATTATTTAGATTCTAAAATTAATTTGAAAAACCATCTAAGAAATGCTTTATTCGTGCATTTATCAAACATTCTATACACTTGTTAAAGTGTTGTCCAAGATTTTACGAGTACCTTTCATTTAGAATTGTTAAAGTTACTTCATTGAAATTGCAAAAAGAAAAGAAAAAAAAGATAGGAAACCTGTTAAAATGGTTGATTCATTATCAAAAAATGGACTTTTAGAGCCCCATTATTAGAAACTAACTTTTTTCATAAGACATAACTTACTGCATTTTCAACAAATTACAATATTAAAATTACTGGAATAAATACAAAGCTTTAAGTATTCATATTACAGATGAATAAAATATGCAGGTTGTTTTTTTCCTTATATTAAAAAACACAGTAATTTTAAATAAACTTAAATACAACATGTATCAACAACAATTTCTTTCACTATACTTATAAATTATGTTTCACTGAAGCCAACATAAGGTTGGTTGTCATGGCAACAAACAGTGACCTTGTTTGACAAATAAAGAGAGAATATTATTTAAATGTTTTATTGCTATGCAACCAAATTTTCTCGAAGTACATGAACACCCACTAGATAATGTACTTACACTTCATTTATTTGTTTGAACATCCAGGAAAAAATATAAAAACTTGGAAATCATTTATTAAAATGTGAAAGATGAAGGCAAATCAGAATCGTATAGTACATGTACATGGGTAAAAGCACATCATTAATTAATATGTAAGTTACATTTACCAAGAATTTGATTACTGCATACATTTAAGTAAGATCAAAATCATTACATACTTATGTAAATTCAACTTAAACATAACATCCTATATTTTACACTTACTTGGGCCACATTGTAGCTGAAAATATATGTAAAACCAATTTTTGAATCAAAATGCAATGTAAATTGGTGTCCATATACAGCACACCCTTTCACAGTATCAGCAGATCAAGTGTATATAATATTAAATATTTTAATATTCACCTCTAAATAAACATTTCACTATTCCTTTCTATACTATACTCTTAAGTTAATTTTTTACTCTGACACAATAATCATATGTGTCACATTAAATTCATTTCTGTCTCGCTTGTAATTAGCTTCTCATTAGACAAATTATTTCACAACCTCATTGGTGGGCATGTCATACATTTTCTTTCAAAGTTAATGAAATTGTTGAATTTTAAATTTAAATAATTTTACACTTTATGAATGTATTACACTATAATGGCAATATTTAAATGTTTACTTGACTACAAAAAACAAAATATTTTAAAGCCCCCTTTAAGAAAGCTAAAGTATCCACAATGTGTTAAAACCAGCCATTTCTTAATAACCACAGTTAAGTATTAGGAATTAAATACTCAAATAAAAATTGTACACATTTTTTTGTGGTTCTGAAATAGGTCACAGCTTTTTATTTGGCATTACACAATATAATAATTAAACACTGTCATCACTGGATGGAAATTAATTTACAGTTTGATTTTTATAAAAGTATGGAATTGGGCCTCTACTATTGCTAGGCCTTAATTCTTTGCTAGAGTAGATATAGCAGACCATTACAGCCTTAAATAAAGGTTCTGGATCTATTATCTTATAATGTTTTTTCGTTTTCCAAACAGAGGTCATGCTAATGCAAAAATATCCTACCTGTAGGCAAATTTTGGCATGCTACGAGTACCATTTATGTTTGTTTGTGTTTTTTTTTTACATAAATCTCTTGGCTGGATTGATAACTTGTACAACTGCTTCCCTACAGATTATTCGTCTGTTGTCATTTCTTAAAAATTTGAAAACTAGCAAGTCTCTCAAATGTCAGATTTCTCAATAAATATGGAATGCAAGATTTTGAAGTAGTGTGCTCCACATTTTAGGATAATGCCAGCAACAAACTCGTACAAGCATCAGCATTTTGCCATGATTTTCAGCAATGAGGTTCACTTTCAGCCATTGCCATCCCAATTTTGGAGAATACAAGTTACACTGATCAGAGATGAAAGTGTCCCTTTCCTAAAAATCCTGAAAATAATCGAAGCCAAGTAAGGG